CCCCTACCCTCCCCCTCTACCCCCAGTCCCGCACCAGTCTCTGTCGCAGACGCAAAACTTTGTCTTTACCTTCCTGAGCTGCGCTATTTGGACGTAAGGACGGACGGACGGACGAACGGGATGGACTGGGCGGCCCCTGGGGACACACACAACCTTGAGACTGACGGGGGCGGGGAGATACGGCCGGGGCGTAGTGATGGTCGTTAGGGGGTGAAGGGGGAAGGGGGGTGCTCCCAGGGTCTCCGCGCGTAAAATATTTATGCCCCTTGCTCCCGCTGCTCCCACCCTCGCCCGCCCTCCTCGCTACTACTGTTGCTGCAGCTGGAGCGTTTGCTGCTGGTGGCACAGGGCCCGGTGCTGCTGGGGCTGGGCGGCGGCCCCGGCGGCGCGGATGGCCCCCGGAGGCCCGGGGCGCCCCGCATACACCACGTGGTCGCAATCGATTTGCCAGAGTCGCGCGCGGCCCGTGTATCCGAGGGCGAGCGCGGCGGCAGCGGCGGCCACCACCGCGGGCCGCGGGGGACCAGCAAGCCCGGGGCCCACTGCGACAGCGCCAGCACCTGCACGCTGCTGCACACCGCCCGCGGTAGCCGCGGTAGCCTGGTAGCGGCGGCGGTAGCGGCGCTCGCCCCGCGGCGGTCCTATCGAGCGGGAGCGCGCGGCCGCGGGGCCCCCGCTCGAGGCCGTGCCCCTGCTCCCACTCGCCGAGTACCCTACTTTAGCTAGCCCGCTCCTCCGCACCGCTCCGCTACTACTCACCCCCTCTCGAGTCCAGCAGGCAGGCGAGCGCGCCCAGCAGCACGGCCGCGGTCAGCACCAGCGAGCCCGACGGCCACGTCGTCGTCGTCGTCCTGGTCGCCGTCATGGTGATGCTCTCCCTCCTCGGCGCGGCGGTGGTACTGGTGGTATGGTCGCACACTCGGCGCTGGCGGCGTCTCTCTCTCTCTCTCTGCGACTGGCCCACCAGCACTGCACTCGCGCGCTCACACACACTCACTCACTCACTCCCTCACTCCAACGCCACGCCGCGCCGCGCCGCACCGCACCACCGCGCCTCCACGAACCCGACCCTCGCCGCAAGGTCTCCGCCGCGCTGAGCTCGCACCACCGCTCTCTCGCCGCCCGAACAGCTACCCTGGGAACTCGCTGACTGACTACTGACCCGCTGCCAGGCCGCCCGATCCACCCCGCTTCGCCGCTCCCCGCGCCGCCCCGCCCCACCCCGCTGCGAAAAGCGGAGCGCGGCACGGCAGCCGAGGCGGCGCGACCCTCGAGCGGACGCGGAGGCGGGGTGGGGCGG